GGTGGTAGAGGGAGCCCTGGGGGGGCAGCGGGGCGGGGGGGCGGCGCGGGGGGGGCTCCTCGATCCGCATCAGCTCCTCACAGCACTGCTTCCACTGGGCTGGGGGGACAGGGACAGAGCCCCCCCGGGACGGGGATTGAGCTGGGATGGGGGTCCCGTTGGATGGGGGGGGGTCTCACGGGAATGGGGGTGCTCTCACGACTGGGGTCCCACTGCCTTGGGGGTCTTGGGGTGATGGGGGTCCCACAGGGATGGGGTACTGGCAGGGTGGGGGTCCCACAGGGATGGGGGTGTCCCACTTGTGGCCCTTTAACTGCGACAGCGTCCCACAGTGCTGGGAGGGCCCTTGGGAATGGGGGGATCCCACAGGGATGATGGGGGGATCCCACAGGGATGATGGGGGCAGATCCCACAGGGATGGGGGGGGGGGATTCCCCAGGGATGATGGGGGGGGGGGATCCCACAGGGATGATGGGGGGGTTCCCAAAGCTCTGGGGTAGGGGGTTTCGGGGGTCCTGGCTCACCCAAATCGTAGAGGTGCTGCCCGAAGGCTTCGAGCCAGCGCTGAGCCTCGGCCTCGCTCTCGGCCAGCAGCGCGTGTGTCACCTCCTCCCCGCCCAGCCGGTTGGTGACGGCCACCCCGGGGGGCTGCCCGCTGCCCCCCGACTCCACCGCGCGTACCCGCGTGTCCTGCGGCACCGGCACACCTTGGAGCCCCACAGCACCCAGAAACCCCAGAAACCACCCCAAGCCCCACACAGCCCCCCTTTCACCCCTGCCCTGTCCCCTCCATCCCCCAAAGAGCACCCCCAGAGCCCCCCAGAGCCCCCAGGAGCCCCCCGGAGCCTCCCGTGTCCCCGTACCTTGGTGACAGCGATGGTGAGGGTGGGCTCCTGCCCTGCCTCGGCCTCGCCAGCGCTGCCGTAGCAGAGCAGCCCAGGGCCCCGCAGGACACAGAACAGGGGGGGCCCGCTCGGCCCCTCAGCCCCTGGAGCCTGTGCCGAGACCCCCGGAGCCGTCAGCACCCCGGGGTGAGCAGCCCCAGAGTCTGCGCCCGTCCCCAGCACACGGGTACCCCCAGCTCCATCCCCAGCAGTCCTGGTGGGCACGGGTGAGATCCTGGCCCCATCCCTGTCCCCATCCCTGTCCCCATCCCTGTCACTGTCCCTGTCCCATTCTCTTCCCAACCCATTCCCGTCCCTTGTACCTCTTCTTGTCCCTTCCCAGCTCTGTCCTACCCCTTGTGTCTGTCCCCATTCTTGTCCCCATCCATGTCACTGTCCCTGTCCTCCATCTGACCACATCCCATGTCCACCTTTGTCCCCGTCCCTGTCCTGCTCTCATCCGTGTCCCCATTTCTCTGTCCATCCCCCCCATCTGTGTCCCCATCTCCATCCTTGTCCATCCCCATCGCTGTCCTTGTCCCTGTGCCTGCTCCCATCCCCATCCTGACCCCATTCCTGCCCCATCCTTGTCCTCACTCCCGTTCCCATCCCTGTCCCTGTCCCTGTCCCTGTCCCTGTCCCTGTCCCTGTCCCTGTCCTGCTCCCATCTTTGTCCCTGTCCCAGCCCTATCCCCATCCCTGTCCCTCTCTCCATTTCCATCCCTGTTCCCATCCCCTTCTCACACCTTTCTCCATCCTCACATCCCAATCCCAAATCCCAATCCCCCGTCACCTGCAGCTTCAGGGTCCCTGGTCCCACAGGGTTGTTAACCCAGCCCATCCCTCTATCCCATTCCTGATCCCATTCTCTCTATCCCATCCCTCCATCCCATCCCTATATCCCACTTTTCTACCCCATTTCTCTATCCCATCCCTCTCTCCCAATCCCATTCCCGATCCCGATCCCAATCCCAATCCCGTTCCCGATCCCGTCCCTCACCTACAGCCGCAGTGTCCCCTTTACCACGGCAGTGTTAACACATCCCATCCCCAATCCCACCCCTCTCTCCCGATCCCAATCCCGATCCCGTTCCCATTCCCGATCCCGATCCCGTCCCTCACCTGCAGCCGCAGTGTCCCGGTGGCCGCGGGGGTGTCCACGCAGCTCGGCCTGGCCGCCAGGCGACAACACATGCGGCCATATAGGGGCACCCAGCAGGGGCTCTGCTCTGGGGGGACACGGGGACATGGACCCCAAACCCACCCCAAACCACATCAAACTGACCCCAAACCCACCCAAACCACCCCAAACCAACCCCAAACCACATCAAACTGACCCCAAACCCACCCCAAACCAACCCCAAACCCACCCAAACCACCCCAAACACACCCCAAACCCACCCCAAACTGACCCTAAACCACCCCAAACCCACCCCAAACCACCCCAAACCACCCCAAACCACCCCAAACC